GCAGGTAACATACCACCATATACATAGATACAATACATTTATTTTTTAAGATTGGTTGCCTAAAAATTATAATATGATTTCTTGCCTACTATTGATTATGTTTTCCGCCAGGAAGTGTTTCGATGCCAGATAGATTACCATCTTCATCCTCTGAGACAGTGTCGCTATCCTCATCATCTAAATCAATAATCAGACTATCAATGATTATGTCTGTCATGAGTTAATTGACATAAAATCGACCTCCAATTTCTTTGCTCTTTCTCAACGAGATTTCCTTCGCTAGGAAGAAAACCGATCAGAAAAAAACGTGGCGATATTGCATGACATCTTTCAAACTGCAACATTTTTATTTGCCACGTATTCTTTCAGTCAAACATTAACCAACTCACTTGGATTCAAAACTGGATGATATGGCGGTAATCGTACAATGTTGTGATTTGCTTCTAGAAAGAGCTGATCTATTTCGAATCGCTTGAATTTTGGTTTATAGTTGTTTATGAGGGCATATAATTCATATTTCAGCATGTGTTTTCCTAAAAAGAATATTCCTGTCTGATAACCATGATTGCATATCGGCTTTTTTGGTTGATATCGTTGGTCTTTTGTAGGTTTGTTCATTATGAATAGGTGCATCATCGATCACCAAAATGTTTGAAGCCAACTAATTGATACTTATTTGTGCCACTCAGTAGACTATTTTCTCAAAAAATTGAATTCCGCTTCAATATTTTATTCTTCAGGTGCCCTCCAGACTCATCTACGATTTCCATTGAAGAAATACTGCCAACTTCCACGGTAATAGCAACTTCAGGTCTACCAACAGCTAGTCCTGTGAGCAATCAAGGATTCGATGTGAAAACTGTTGTAGAAAATGGACCCGAATTAGATACTTCGAAAAATGTGGAATCAATTGATCAGCTTCCAAATGTGGAAGTAGAAAGTTCAAATGAAAAAGTTGCCGAAGATTTGGAGACGGCGAAACCTACAGAAGCTTTGCCATTTTGATATTGATATATGAAGTATATGAAACTTGTTTTCTTGTGTTGATCTGTATTTTATTTTATACATCAGAAATAAATGTTATATGTCTTTATAAGTACCTACCTATTACTAACTAATGAAGTCATATGGTAAAGTGATATTGAAAGATGTATAGTGTAGGTTAATATGTGGAAAAAAAACTTTTCAACAACTCAAAATTAGATTTTTTTGTATTATTTTTTCCAAAATATCAATATTCAGGCGGCTTATCAAGACCATTCAGCCTAAGACTTTGTTTTTGGAATCATACTGATATTGTTTGTGTGAGAAAAAAAACTCTTATGCATCAACAGATTTCAAAACAAATTTATTTTTCACCAATATCGTCCAATTAAACGAAAATATGAGTGCTCGCGATGAAATGATTTTATGCTTTTTGAAACTTCAGTGTTTTCGTTAAATTTTGGTTGAGAAAATATTCTAATTTCTAAAAAGGGATAATTTGGGTATGATTAATATTTGCTAATTCGCAAAGTTGAACTAAACAACTTCTCAGTATTTACCAAAATTGTAATGAAGATCTTGGCAGATAAAGTGCGCCTATAAATTTTTTACAATTTTTACCTTCAGTAGTGCAAAAAAAGTTTCTGTCACAAGAAGTATATTATTATATTATATTGCACCTCTTATCTGCAGGAAATAAAAAAAAATATATCACAGAATTAAGAGAGTGACGTTACTGAAAATGACTCCGGAAGTTGGAAGTTGATAGATCAACAGTTTTCATTCAATCATTTCATATCTTTTATACACTCAGANTTTTAAAAAAGAACATTAAACAGTCATAAATATAAATTGCATAAATGGTCAATATATTGTTTGATCAGAAAATACTTCTGCATGATTCCCTATATGGCATATTTAAGATTATTCTTAACGTTCTCTTCTGAACGATAAACACTTTTTCCGTATCAGAACTGCTTCCCCAAAACATGATGCCATATTTAGCAGCTGCTTCAAAGTTTGCATGATACATAATTTCCATTGAACTGAAATTTAGAAATCTATTGAGAGTTCTCATGGCAAACACGACTGAATTTAGTTTCATGCATAATTTTGTTATTTGCTTAGACCATAAGTCCAGTTATCACCCGAAGACGATTGTGGATACTAACAATCGAAACGTCGTGACGTAACTTGGTTTGGAATCTTTGAATTTTCATTTTTCATTTTTTGTTAATGATATTTTTTAATTTTCAGCTTTCATTAATATTTCAATTCTATTTTTTTTTGCTTGTTGCTTGTATGTTATTTCTTTGTAATTTCAGTTTTTTGGATATTAACGGTTAATTTTTTCAATTTCTTTTCAGGGTTGTCAAATCAATTTATATTATATTAGACAATGGAAGTCCGAACTGATGAAATATATTTATTTTTATCTAAACTTTATCGATAGTTCTGTCAAAAACAGATCCCGATATGTAAGGAAAATGAGAGTTACAAACAAACATACATACAGGTGAAGCTAATATAAAGCGTGTAATAATAATTAGAAGATACCCGCATATTCTCAATGAAACTGCAAAACTTTTTGTTGTTAATTGTTCAAAGTCACTACAAGACTGTGTGTGTGATGCATTTGTACTTTGTCAGTCATCTGTTTCGTCATGTACACTTATTTTTTGGAAGCAAGCAGTGGAAACTCACGTGCTGTGAAGCATATTATGATTTTGTTTGTAATACAGGCTGTCTTGAGTATTCAGATGAGAAGAGTTAAACATATAACATACATTTTATTTTCATTCAATTCCATGTTGTTAGCGGTATATTGTTGTACGCACCTTTAAGTTGAATATGACTCACAGTTATCACTACTTTTCAGAAATTCATTCTACAATTGGTAGGTATACCGAAACTCACATTCAGAACACAATTATATTTCTTAGTTTACCTTTTATCGAGAATAGTTACCAATGGGAACAAGACTGAATTTGAACTCTTTCGTATTTCCAAAAAGTTAGGTACAAAATATTGATTTGTGAACCAGAAAGTATATCATCATTTTTTCATTGTGTAATTTGAAGCGACTATGAGCTATATATATAGTCTCATTAGGGAAATACTGAGAAAAAAGTCGTGCGAAGTGTGTATGGAATATACGATTAGGAAATGAAGATATAATGTATTCAAAGATGTACGAGGTCTGTTCAAAAAATTAGGTGAATGTTCAAACTTCGCGCGAGATGTGAATAACGACGCCCACCCTGGGCGCATCAGCACAGCAATAATTGATGAAAATGTTGAGAAAATGAAAACATTGTTATGGAGAATCGTCGAATCACTACTAGAGAAGTTGCTGAGGATGTCAACCCATCGGTTGGCTCATGCCATGCAATTTTTTCGGAAATGTTGGACATGAAACGTGTAGCAGCGAAGTTCGTTGCAATATTGCTGAATTTTGACCACAAGTTTTATTATCATGCTTGCAATCAAAAAAATCAAATCTGCGTGTTTAAATCAAATGTTCAAATTGTCCTCCATTGACATGATACAATCTTGACTGAAAACCGTCTCTGACATGGTTCAGCATAATTGGAGTTATTTGACGACACTCATTCATAATTCTTTGGCGTAGTTCGTCCAAATTTTCAGGGTGAGTCACAAAAATCTTGGACTTGAGATGTCCGCACAAGAAGTTCAGAGGGTTCAGGTCAGGAGATCGGGCAGGCCACTCCATAGGACCTCTTCTTCCATACAGCTGCTCCTTCATCATTCACAATTCCAATGGGTGCCCTTTTTTTATCCATTACTGAACCCGTCTCCACAAATTTTGAAATCAATTCCAGTACATACTTATGGCGATGGTTTTGGTTAAATATCCTTGCAGGCGCTCGGGCACAATTTGGTTTTTGGCAATAAAGGCTAACCAGCTCAACTCGTTCTTGCAATGTGTACACCATATTTTTTGAAATATTAAACAAATCAGCAAAGTAGTAACTCAACAGATTGATTTCAATTCTGAAATGATCGAAGAAACGTTACAACCAGATATCATATTCTATAGTAAAACCAATAATGATTGAGAGTAGAGCGCGTTGTCATATTTAAATTTAACGTTACCAGTTTATAGCAGAATCAAAATATAGTAAGCAGTAGAGTTGTGGCACATTATAGATAATACACAATACTAGTACGATTAAAAGGTATTATTTATGACAAAAATCAGTAATGAGCTTGTAATGAGTAATACTTATACATTTCCTGATTGCTGATCAGTTAAAATTCATTATTTTCTGTATAGTGTTAGATATTTATTACAATTAGTGGCAACGCTGTACGCAACGATATTTCTGTCTGTGTCACTTTACCGTAACTTCCATCTCATCGTTGCAGTCCTCACTAATGTACTTGCAGCCATGAGCGTATCATTGGTTTGTGAATTATACAGCGTGAATTGTACGTTTTACAGTTAAGTTAGTCAGCAATCGACGTGTTGTGATAACAATTGGTGAAAATAATAGTGCTAATAAGTGTTTAAGCGTTACATAATTATATTTCTACACCGTTCTCAAACTACTCAAAAAATGGGAGACATGGTCGGGCCTTCCACGTCGAAAAAGGTAAAACGGTCGGAGTCTCGGTCAGTAAGAGAAAAACAAATTGTACTGCGAGTATTTCACTGTCTTGAAAGATATCATCAGCCACCAAAAGATGACTTTGTGCATATGTGCTGTAATTCTACGTGTGTAGAATTGAAGATGATCACTTGGTGATTGAAACACTTGTCGAGGTGTTAAAAATAACGGTTTGGTCTTGGGATTAAACTCCAGATCACTTTTTAATAATTATATCATCGTTTGACAAGAATATTAAAAAGTATTACTTAGATAATTCTTTTTTTAAAGTGGTAAGGACAGAGCTAATCTCTTGTGGCGAGTACGGCAATTGATCAGAATAAAATAAAACCTAGGACCTAGGAAACAAACAATTTTAATTGCTTACTAATAAAAAATGTACAAAATATGATATTGTAAAATTGACTTTGAAAAACCTCAATTAAAAATATAGTATATCCAAATATATAAAATAATGATTCAGTCATTCACGCTTTCTCATGGATACGTTACTCATCCCTTTAAGCGAGATGAGTATTTGCTACTTTTGTTATAGTATTCAAACATTCCTTCGTGGCGATATACTGTTTAGTAACCTCTGCTAATTTGGTTTCTTTCTGACTCAACATTTTCTGGAGATCCTGGTTTTGCTAAAAAAAATTATACATGAACAGTCAAGAGTAAGAAGCAGTCTCAAACATCCTTACCAAATTTAGGGTGTCTATATGTAAATTTGCATTTTTGAGTTGTTCCTCCCTTTTCTGTAACTGCTTCTCCAGTCTATTTCCACTGTCTTCCAATTTTTGTATAACCTGTTTACATTTAGAAAGCTGGTCTTCGAGATTGGTTTTAACTTCAGTCATTTCCAACAGTTTCAGCTTGGTTTCCTTGAGCTTGTTTTCGATTTCTGCTACATTTTTATTTTGTTTTGCTGCAAAGTAGCCAATAACAAATGACAATAAATTTCACCAAGTCTCAAAAATGAAAATGTCAGAAAATTAATACGTAAAATAAAAATCCAATAGATAATTTTATTGGGCATAGCACTAGGACACGTGTTTTGTCTATCATCAGTATGGTGTAGCCAAACATGCATGGGCAAAAAGAAGGATGAAATCAGGTATACATTAACAGAAGCCAGCCGCATGTCTGTGTTTTTGGTTAATAGATCTAGTGTTGATAAGAAAAACTAGAAAAATTTACACGTGGTATCTGGGTCTGGGAAGTCATACAAGAATCTATTGAAAACTGTTTTTCCCTTAACCAGCTGTCGCTCCCCTACGAATGACAACCTTCAGAAGTCGTAACTTGGGCGAGCTAGGAATTGATGAAGTCTGGCCTCATGGCTCGAACCACTGTTTCACCTAACAGTCGATTGAATTAGTGGAACAAACCACTCATGCCATCCCAACCGGCTACCGTCCCACCAATATGGAGGATTTCGAGTGTCTTCATATAAATCAAATCGACAATTTTATGGGACACAGCAATCAAAAAAAGACAAACCATTGAAACGTCTTTCGGGGTGTTTACCTTCATTTAGCAATCAAGTATTACCCATTGTTATATTCGGCTACAACATATATCGAAACACTCAATGTCTGTCATATTTGTGAAATGATGGAAATCTGGAAATCTTCAATATTGCGAAATATGACAGTAAAGTGTATATCAATCTTGTCCCAAAACCGATTTCTGTGTGTCCAAATACTATGTTTTTGAGGGGGAAAAATGCAAATTCATCTTTTGGAAATATATCTCTAATACAGTTTAGGAAGTTGGCTAGAATATGCTATCTATTGTACAAATTGAATGATTCAGTTGACTCTGAAGTACATGGAGTATTTTATTTCACTCAAGTCCAATCAATCCAATCTTATGGATTGATATTTTTAGGAAAATCCTCCCTAGCACAAAAACATGACCTTGTAGACATCTTTGAAGAACTAGGAATATTGCTCCCCTTCCTTCTTTATATATACATTGCTTGTTCGTAATTTTTTAGCTAAAAACAATACGGGAATCATGCCTCAACCACCGTATTCGCCAGATTTGCCCCTCTGCGATTTATTTCTTTTTCCCAAGATTGAAGTGACCCATGAAAGGACGTTGTTTTCTGATGATTAAAGAGATAAAAATCGAATCACTGATGGAGCTCAACGACATATCAAAAAGTGCATATCAGCAATGTTTCGAGAATTGAAAAAAGGGGAAATGTTTTGAAGGGGACAAAATCAAAATTGATGAATGAATAAATAATGACTGGGGCTCTCTAAGGCAGTCCATCACCAATTCAACTTCTGGTTGCCGAACAAGATTCGTTTTCTGTTTTTCACTGCAGCTTTCACTGCAAGGTAAAATGAAACTAAGGCCCTAAAACAAAGTATTTGTGATCCAACACCAGACAGTGCTGTCTCATAAGTAGTGCTAGGCTGAAACGAATGCATTGCTGGAAGCAAGTATTCCTAGAGGGCAATTCTGAGAAATTTAAGGGGAATAACATCTCCCTTTATGAGACTTTGGCAAGACAACACAGCACTGTCTGGTGTTGGACTACGAAAGCTTTGCTTATATTCCATTCAATTATTTTTATAATCTGATGATCAACTTTATGATCAGAGCCCACACCTGACACCATAAACCTTTCCGGTGTCAGGTGTGTACTTTAATTTCTATTGTACAAAACCCTCATTCCTATCAGTTTTCTATGAAAAAACATCACTTTCCATTCTTCAATGAGAAAACAACATACCAAGTTCTTCATCGGCTTGCTTCCTCCCCTCTAGATAGACTTTCCCCATATCCTCCATTGTCTTGTTAGTTCTCTCTAACCGATTCTCATAGTGATGTATTAGCTGTCCAAGTTTGTTGTGCTCTGCTGTCAGCTGAGCCAACCGATGTTGGAGATGGATACAGCGCTCAGAAGCTGCCTCCAAGCTTTTCGAAGCAGACAATTCTGAATGAGCCAACGAAGCTACTTTATACTCATACAGCTCCATCACCTGGCTAATTGAAGCATTGGAGAAGTTTTGTTCTGTCATCAATCTCTGCAAAATACGTTACAGTTCTGCATTCCAGTCGTACCACATCATAATTTACCTTGAAACCTCGTAGAGTATCGTCCAAGATTTCCATCTGGGCAAACGATAGAATGGGATACACTATGTCAGTTGATTTTTGAATGTTTGTTTGGCATCTGGGATCGCCTGTGCTACAAAACATGTTCTGTGAAGATTCCATTGCAGAAGCGACCTTTTCGATGGGGAATCTTGGATACCTCGACATTTCCAGGACCAGCTGTTTCACTTTGGTTCCGCTTCCGTAAAGGGCTATCGCGAATAAATTATGAATAGTTCTGAAACATCCAAAACATTGGTACACTTATAGTAAGTATATACTAATAAATGAGAAGTAGTCTAATAAATCCAGGTGAAGATTTAGTAAAATCTAAATACCTAATAAAATAGATTTTAAATATTGCAAATACTACTACTCTTATGTGAACTTTATATCTAGATAGCACCTTTTGATGTGAAAAAATTTATTTTCATAAACTTTAAAAAGGGGTTAATAGATAATCAAATCATGGATGTTGAAAAACACAAAATTCACTGATTTTTGCAGGTTTTTCAGAAAAGTGGCAACCCTGCTATGGCAATATAAGAGGTCTGTTCAAAAACTAAAATGAATTTTCATTTTCATCAAAAATGATTTATTCAATTTTTAATTCATCAATTTCTATTGTGCCCCCTTCAGAGAAGTCCTCCTCAGATATAAGAAAATACACTTGTGCCAGGAATCATTCCAATCCTCGAAGCATATCAGATATGCCATCCTTTCATGGGAAAGGAAAAAGTCACAGGGGGCCAAATCAGGTGAATACGGTGGCTGAGGCATGACTCAAAGAAAACAGTGAGCAAAAACTTGGCATTTGATCAAACTTGGCGTGCTTTTGTTGGTCTTGGCCCTCCTGGGTTTATTCATTGAGACGATTGGATTTTGGTTTCAATGTCATAACCATATACCTATAATTCATCAACAGTTATGGCCCTTTTAAGCAAATCTGAGTTACCTTTGACGTCATTCAACAGTTTCTGAGCGATGCTCATGGGACGGTTTTATTGGTCTAAATGCAGCAATTTTGGAATGAACACGCTTCATGTCCAAAACTTTCAACAAAATTGCATGGCATGAGCCAACCGATATGCCGACATCCTCAACAACTTCTTTTATAGTGATTTGACGATTCTTCATAACAATTTTCTTCACTTCCTCAACATTTTCATCGTGAACATATGTTCGCGACAAGTATACTAACATAAAAAAAAAAAGAAATCGCTAATCCTATGTACTTAGCCTGCAAAATTTCAACATTCACCATATTTTTTGAAAAGACCTCGTATATGTGTCTCTAGGTAATTACTCAGAAAAATAATTATTATTTACGTTTTCTGGCAAATAGAGCATTTAATTTTAGGTATCAATAACCTCTACAGCTCTTACCTATTTTCCATCAAAGTGCTAAGCAACTCTAACCACCTTGCGTCATGTTGCGATAATTCATTCACCAATCCCACAGCATACACGTACGTGTCCACATGCTCAGTCGAAGTAGTAGTAGTCTCATTAACTTTCAGCTTCGGCAAATTCGTCACATTCAGCTCATCGGCCAACACTGGGGCGAAGAGCTTCATCAAAACTGTTTCATTCATAGACTGTAATACCTCAGTACAAATTGCATTCGACTTCAACATAGTCCTGAGCAGTTGAAGCAGGGATCCGAGTCTCTGACAGCCCTCCATATTGGTAGGGGAAGCTTCGGATTGCAGAATCGACAAAAAGGCTGGTAGTTTTGCGGCCAGTAGCTTCAATACGTTTTTATCATCGTCTGTTTTGGTGGAATGTTGTGTTATTGTAGTCAAAATAGTCAAAGCCTGATAAGACACTCTCTCAGAATGCAACCAGTCCAGGGCTAGCATGATTATTTTAGGATATAAGGTGGAGAGGTCAGTCAGTTTGTACATTTCCATTGTGTATATGAACTTGAGAACGAGTTTCACACAGTCCGGGTCGTGCTGAGCTACTGGGGTTGTGTCTGGATCTGGAGTTTGAGTTCGCGCATTGATCAGCTGAAAAGTATAAGGGTAAGGTATATAATAGAAAAAAAAATTGAGAGATTTTTTGGAGAGATTAGTTTTCGAAAAAAAAAAGGTTTTAGCGTTTTTCTTTACCATCTTCATATACAGATGGTGCTGATGAGGCAATAAATGTCCGCTATTGATGATGACAGATGCATGTAAGTAAAATTTTATCTCTTTCATATACTATATTGTGTAGCATTCCTGTGAATGATATCTGGTTCAATTCCATAACGAATGTTTGGCGTAAAAACTCAATGTGAAAAAGTGATTTTGTATAATTCAATCTTCATATGAAAGCAGCTGTTTCATTTCAAAACCTTAAAAGTCTTGAAGATGAGACTATAAATAGTCATATCATAGAGCTTCATGAAAACACTATAAAAGCTAACTACTAACTTACCTGTATGAGCCTGCTGACTTGTTCCCTATAATGCTGGTATTCTTTCATGATTTCAGCATTTTCGCCGCTGACCACATCGACAAAAAAATCAACAACCAATCTCAACATCAGAGGATCGTTCTTTGTGAGAGATTCTACTACTGATAGAAACGTTGGTTCGATAAGATTCAACAGAGTCTTTTTTGGAATATCGTCATGTGAATGATCAAGTATTATCATCAGTTTACAGACGTGGACTTCCACTAAAGGCCCCTGAAAGAAAATTATCCTCAAAAAATGTACTTTTTGCAAAGTTACGAAAGTTCAACTTTTATGAAATGTTCATACTTATTATAAAGACATGATAGAGAATAGTTTAAAAATATGTTAGTCTTTTAAAAGACAAGCATTACAGGAAAATCCTTAAGACGTTCTAAGAGCGGTGCCTTTGAAATCGACACCTCTGCAAAATGTTTTTCAAGATAATGAAATTTAACTATTTTTTTCCCCAATAAATGAATTATTTTTCAACATTTGATATAACCATATTATATAAATAGGACATCTTTTAGCTGATTCCACTGTTGATGCATTGGAAAGAGAATGACCTACAATGTCACTTAAACTGTACAAAAGTTTCCAATTATGGGGAACTAGAATAATGCCTTTTCAGATCGAGAATATCAGTGGTTGTTTTTGAAATATTCTCCAAAAACTAGAATTGTCCAATCTCATTTTTTGGCTCTACTGTCTCCATTTCAAATTACAGAGGCAGAGGAAATTTCAATACTATTCCATATTTGTTATAATCTGAAATAAAGTAATTTGCAATGCGACATTTTGTCCTTTAGAACACAAGTATTGACTGAAAAAATACTTACCTTCATTGGTAAACAAAACCGAAGAAACTTTTTAATATCCATGTAATCCTGGATAACATATAAACTGCTGGTAAATTTTTATAACAAAGATTTACTAAAACGCCAAGAGACAGGCAGAGAATTTCTTTATCATTATCTTCTACCCATTTCGTAAGCGTCTTCAATAAATGAGGCAGATGTGGTACTTGCCAAGATAGTTTTATGCCACATGTAAGTTCCTAAAAGCATAACAATTCTCATATCAAACATTATATGAAACTATAATATAAATATCAATAAACAATTATTCATTTCCAAGAAACTCTGAGAATATGTACAAAAAATATTCGAATAGAGCTTTTCCAGAATCTGTCAAATCAATAACAAAAATGATTTCCCCATATGATTGATGCTAGCTTTTGTGAATTACATCAAACTGAATATTACAGGAAAGGGTTTCATCTATCAATGTAAAACCAAACATTTTAATTTGGTTGTGTTCAAGCAATAATAATTTATGGACATTTAGCAATGACCATAAAAGAAGATATTCAAAATTTAAAGTTATTCTGTATATATCAAACCTATATATTTTTTTTTTCAATTAATCTCAATTTATTGTTGTATTAATCGTTGTAAATATTTGTTGAAATACATCAGAGTTGTACTATCAGTAAATAGTATCCAATTTCAAATACTCAATGAATTAATAGTAAATTCAGCTTACCTGCATCAACCTTAGAAGCTTCTTTTTCTTTGCATTACTGAGTTGATCACCTAAAAGTCTGGACAGAGTTGGAATAAACTGATAAGTATCTATCAGAGCTTGTCTAGCAGAACAGTTGCGGCAAGCATTGCATAGAACATCTACACAATCCCATGCCATTTGAGACTGTGGTTCAAGTTTCGTCAGGAGTTCATATAAACTAACGTAAAATTGGGAACCGAGACTGGTATCAGGATCGAAGGCACTAGCATCAATGGTAACACTGTAAGCCTACAAATATAATTGAATTTATGAAAGTAACAACTGGAACATTATATACATACTTGGAGGAACTTTTTGATAATCAATGCACTGTTTTCCGTTCGTGTTCTGCAATACTCATTGATAGCCTCTATTAGCTCTCTCATTTTCAAGGATTCTGAAGGGGTATGATTGATGCTGCCATTGTTTGACGTTTCCATTTTTAATGTCGACTTATTTATAAATGAAAAGCAGAAAGTATCATATAAATCCAACGCAGATTTTCCGTTATTTTCAAATATTCAAAAAGTTTTAGGTTACTTGGGTCTGGGGGATGTAAATAAACTGTAAAAATATTTCAATTTCACTGTTGTATAAAAAATACATCATAAAGTAAATATAAAACTCGCACTATCATAAGAACACAAAGTCCTATGAAAATTATCAAAATAATTACATCCAAACGTTCCAAAATAATTTGACACTTGAAATACATGTCACTTACAGAGTTGCCATATTGTCAATGCTATTTGTTTCAAAAAATGACATGTAAAATATATAGAGACTATAGGGGAATGGAATTAACAACAATTAACAAAAATACGTCAACAACAACAAGTTACACTTGAATAATTGAATAGTGATTAGGATCACATATCCTCATCTTCCTGATAAGGTTGTGGTAATGATTTTTAAATTGTGATTTTTAAAGGTTTATGAACACCTAACTTCGTTTTACGTTTTATTGAATTTTTCGATAATCTACATAGACGATATTATTGAAAACGTTGAAACATATTCGAAATATTCATATCTAAAACCAATGTAATACTTTTTTTATCGGCAAAACAGGTGCAGATTTTGTGTACCTCGGTTCTCTATTTCTTCATTAATTATAAAAGATAGAAATACACTGAATGTGCAATAGTTCTATCAAAGGAAAATACTATAACCACCGAATATGTTACACTTCGGTGTTTGGGAACATTGTTTATTGTACAGTGTAGGTTCTAGTTTTACATTAAAAATATCTGAAAGTTGAAGCTTATTTTTTTGGTGCTGAAAAAAAAAAGAAAATAAAAAAATCTGTGAACGATAAACAGTAATGTGTGCGTCCAACAACTTTAAGTGGTTAAAACCGCTTCACCGCTCATTGTAGTAGACAGTAATTTCTGAATCCAGCTGCTGTGTATAATTAAAGTAACTTAAAAAAGCTGCTGCTGCATGCAGCAAAGCGCTTTCTCTTTCTGGACACACCCAATGTCTGTCTATTCAGAAAATGTGGCAATACTGTTTTGTTATTGTAATCTAAAATTTTGACAAGACTTAATAATTAACTTTTCAATTTGGAATTTAGACCATATTTCAATTAGTTTTTTCTGTGATTTGTTATTTTTGTCTTCAAAACAGATATGTTTGTCTTTCAGTTCTCAATCTAAAGCACAATTTAATGCTCATGGCTCCTAACAAAGATCTCATTGTCAAAAAAACTCTTTATGCTGGTAAAGAGGTAATTCATTTCAAGGATGGCACAAAGGTATGTGTGAATTATGTCGATGGAAAAATTGTGTATGGAAAAAATCATTCTAGATCCATTTTCACTTCCAAACAAGGCTGTGTAATAATGACAAAACTTTACTTGACGATTCAAGAAAAATGGGAAAAGGACAACCTTTGGAGCTGGTCCTGGGCAAAAAATTCAAACTAGAAGTCTGGGAAGCTATTTTGCAGAAAATGGCTTTGTATGAAGTGGCACAATTTACTGTGGATAAAAGTGTATGTTTTTCCAAGAAAATTTATTTTGTGAAATATCAAATAAATATTCTTGCAGCTTGTTATACAATATCCGTTTGTTGCGAAAACCCTCAGAGATCTCAATAAACCCAAAGAACAAAGAAATACACATTGCTGTGCAATGACTCTGCAAAATGAAGGAATTGGATATAATGATTTAAATGACTTCCTTAAAAATCCTTCGGATTTAGAATTTACTATTGGTAAGAGATTGGGTTATAAAAGTTATAAATTTGCCATTAGATATTTTACAACAGTTTCTAGAAAACTACTTACTTTTATATATTCATCAACTATTCCTTCAATAATTAGGTANGAAAACTACTTACTTTTATATATTCATCAACTATTCCTTCAATAATTATTTTTTAAATAGGTAAATAATTTATATTCCATTTTTACTGTATGGTAATTGGGTAGTGTATCCATATGATTTTGATTGTATGTAGTGTAAACAATTTGCTTCAATTGTATGCCAAAGTACTAAAATAGTGCAGTCATACAATAAGTTTTGTGTTTGAAAACAACTTTTCACTCTTATGTGACTCATGTCACAATCGTGCGAAAATGATCTTTTCAAAATGGTACAATGTACTATATGAGTTTTCCATATAACGCAAGTGAATTCATATACGTGAGATCTTATATGATGCATTCGTATTCATTTGACTTGTTAGAAGTGGTCCAAATGAACTGTCCAATTTATTTCCAACAGCGCTATATTGTTCTCTCTACCTATTATTTTTTTAATACCTTTTTTTTCTATAACTTCAACAGAAACGAACCTTTCAAGTTTATAATGCCGTCAAACAGTTTTGTCCAAAGAATACGATAACTGAAAAGCAATTTGGAACTACTCAGAAATAAAACGTTTCAGAAAATTCATATCCCTTCATTTCAAAACAATTGTTAACTGTACGGTAGCCTGGTGGGTTGACGTGGGTGGTTTGCTTCACTAACTCAATGAACCGCTGTGTGAACCGGTGGTTCGAACCATAAGGCCGGACGATCAATTTTGACTTTCTATCGTCCAACCCGTGTTACGAATCACACGTTAAAAGGTTAGACCTTGTTAGTCCTTAGCTCGCACAAGTTTCGACTTCTGAGGGTTGTCGTGCGTAAGGGGACAACAGCTGTTTAACGGAAAAACAGATTTCAATAGAAATACATAAGAGTTGGTTTAATAATCTGAGTCAAGAACTTGTTTTAGTTATTCTGGCATGTTTTTCTCTTCATGGATGTTTTATCAGATAGTAGTCGATGCAATATAGTGGATTGAAAGTAAATTATAATGATAATACAGTTTCAAAATAGTAAGATAACATCCAGATCAATTAAGAAAAAATCATAAGGTATAACAATATGAACTAATCAGATTTCTTCAGGCAAGTAACACTAAACACAATACAACAGCCCAAGCTGAAAGTATGGAATAATTAGGTCCGGAATATGATTTTTAAAGCGGGAAACTGATATATTGAAGATTTGAAGGTTATTCAAAGAATTAGCTAATCAAAGAGTTTTTGGGATAAGAGTAGTTAAATTTGTGAAACGAAACATAGAAGGTTTGCATCTGCCTAGTTGTACAACTGGGGACAAGTAGAGATAATTTGGAGAGAAGTGTGGTGGCTAGTTCTCAGCTCGTTGATCATTTTAAATGAAAGTATTAAGTCTCCTATGTTGCAACAAGCAACATAGTTTTAGTATACACGCATCTGGAAGGCAGTATATCTCAGAAAATTGTGCTGTACAGCATCAAGTTTTACTTTGTGTGTGACGTAATTGGGGGAGCAAACTGTGGAACAATAATCAAGATGAGATCTAACTATGTGTGACAACATCTACAAAAACCTCAATGATAATAAATTTCCAATTGGTTTATTCTTTGATCTATCCCGGGCATTCGATACAGTTGACCACAGAATATTACTTGAGAAACTGTATAGAATGGGAAAAAGAGGAGTAGCCAATGAATGGGTAGCATCATATTTATGTCAAAGGTCGCAAATAGTGGTAATAGATGAAGTAAAATCACAACCAGCTTCTGTCTCATTAGGAGTTCCACAAGGCTCAACATTGGCTCCGCTTCTCTGTATAATATTTATAAGTGATATTGAAAATTCGTGTGTATCTCCACAAAAAACAATAATATATGCTGATGATACCTATCAAACAGTAGCAGAAAATGAACTTCTCCTCTTTGTTCAAGCTGCAAATGAAACTGCTGATGAATTTTCACAATGGTGCACAAATAACGGTCTACTTGTTAATGTAAATAGAACTGTTTTCATGAATTAACAACAAAAGAATCTTACTAATGATCATTGTTCACTAATAAAAATACATCACAGATCTATAGAGCAGGTGAATCAATATAAGTATCTAGGATTAGTAATTGATCAGAAGTTAACTTGGCAAAAACACACAGATTATCTAATAACAAAACTGAATAGTCTGCTTCATAATAAGACAACTACATGGAACAGTATCTCTAGAAGTACTCAAATTGGCCTATTTCGAATTAGTACAATCTAATATCTCAAATGGGTTAATATTCTGTGGAAACTCAGCATACCTAACAAAAGTGTTCGTTATCCAAAAAATAATAATTAGATGTATCACTGGCATACGTTGTAGAAAAATCATGCAAGACATTTTTTAAAGATCTAGCTATTTTAACACTACCGTCTTTATATATTTTGCTCATAACTATGAATATCAAAAGAAATGAATCACACCATACAAAAAACAGTATGATACATGATCACAATACTCGCACAGGAAATGTACTGAGACTATCTTACTCACGATTAGCCCTTGGGCAAGACTCGGCAAGCTATCAAGGAGTCATATGTTATAACAAAGCAACTAGGTTACTAGGAAATATTGAAAATTACAATTTAAAAAAGCTTTAATGGATCTTCTCCTAAAAAATTCCTTTTACAATGTTGAAGAATTTTTAGATTTGAATGTATAAGCTGCTTTTTCGTCAGTTTGTGCGACTAGTCTGATAAATATTGTACCAGTAATGTATATGTTATATGTGTATGATATTTTAATGATGAATAAATTCTATTCTATTCTATTCTAGGGAAAAATAGAGAAGTGTCGACATTTACTAGACTGAAAAGAATACATCCTTGAAAGTAAATCTTGAAATTTGTATAACATTTTCTTTTATAGAATTGGTGAAAGTAGAACAACCTGACAGTTACGAGAAGGAAACATGGCAGATGGCAGAAGAGGAGAAAATTGATCTCATTCCCAAACTGAGAGAACAAGGAAATGAGCAGTACAAAAATAAAAACTATAAATATGCAGCAGATTTGTATGCAAAAGCGGTGGGGATGTTAGAACAGCTGATGCTCAAGTAACTGTTTCTTTGATTGCTTTCTCATGATTAAAACACGGACCGTTTCAGAGAAAAACCTCATGATACAGAATGGAATGAAATGGACAAACAGAAAATACCGATTCTTCTGAATTATGCTCAGTGCAAACTGAACGAAGGAGATTATTATGCAGTCATTGAGCACTGTACTACAGTTTTGAAATCAGACAAAGGTGTTGTACCTGTACATGCAAAAAGTGGCATTGGAGCATTTTAATTATATTCTGCTTTTAGATAATGTCAAAGCTTACTTCAGAAGAGCAAAAGCACATGCCCATGTTTGGAATGTCGATGAAGCAAAGCAGGACTTCGAGAAAGTGATTGAACTTGATAAAAGCCTGGAGTTGTTAGTTAGGAAGGAACTAGCAGCATTAGACCAAAGAGTGAAAAGCAAGGATTTGGAGGATAAGGAAAAATATAGCAAAATTTTCACTTAATTATTGATAACTATGTTTATTACTAACTCTTAACTTTGTAAAAAATATATGTATTTATATTTTCTACTTTTTTCAATAGTTTGATTATAAATTCATTTGAATAATGCTGGATTCTTGAGAACTGAAATATCAATCTGTTTTCTCGAAGATAATATGAAGATGATTACCGAGATATTTTTGAAATATTTTGACTGGTTGTATAATAAGAGGTAAACTTACATGAGGGATAAATTCCAAGATCAATTCACTTTTGATAATTTCCATTCAATACATTGATATCCAATGAAATTCTATTCTGAATCTTGCAAATGTATGATGAAAGTCTAGTTTCATATCCAAAGGAAGTCCAAAACTTCAAGATAATATATTTCTCCCAAGAATTATTTTTTCTTGGGAGAAATATATTGATTTCCCCCAAGTTAAAGGAGAATCCTAATTTTAGAGCTTCTCTCTGTGATGTTTAGTTTCAAAAGTAGTTGAAAAAATATTGAGAAAAAGGTAATGATTTTCTTTCAAATATAGTACAAATTTGTACTATATTTGAAAAAAATTACTCACCTTCAACTTTAACCATGATGTTATGAATTTGTACTGCCGTAGACAGGACAACAAAACTCATTTTGAATTCTTGGTTTATTCATAATAACAGACTGGAATTTGCATTTACTAGCTATAAGGAAAGAAATTGTCATTAGGATATTAAGTACAAAGTCAAATGAATCAAATTTAACTACGTTTTGATTAAGGGTTGCTGAATAATATCTTGTTCATTCTTTTTTCATAATTGCATACTANTATTGAGACCTCAGTAAAGTTTCTGAGATAAGAATGCGATAACTATCTGATTCATAAGAAATGTGATCAAGAATAATGATAATGAAAAATCGATTTGATTCCAAAGAAAGAGCGACAGGCAGAAGATGCTGTTTTTCAACAGTCAACAATTTTGTTGAGTATTGTACTTTGAAGAACTCTGGGTTTGAAAATTGTCATTTCTTCCTGTGAAGGAAATATCAAAAGAAGAGGCCTTATTGGTGACAAGTGTGTGAAAATTTCATTGAGAAAATTCTAAATTCATACTATTCATTTGGCATATTTAGGTCAGTGGTTTTCAAGAAAGCTAATTGATTTATGAAAAGTTGTTGGCAGCAGTTCTTTGTGACCTATTGAAGGCTTTGATCTTCGATAGAAAGCAAATATAAAGATTTTGTTTCAGATATATATACTTAGTGATAGAAAGCGGTTCTAAAGATATGCAGCATTTTGCTTCTGAACTTGGTCCAGTTTTCATATTTTCTCAGTTGAGTTAAAAAGTGTTGGAACAGTAGTAGGAAGCAAAAATATATAGTTGAAAAAGCCACTGAAATATTTATGTATCAGGAGAATCTGATACATAGGTTTTTAGGTGACAAGTTGTCATAAGAAAAACCTGAAACAGTTAATAGCATCTCAATATAATTCCCGCTACTGTAGCAATAAATCTTATCAAATTTTTTTATTATTCTTGAATTTAAATAATTTCTAACAAGTACAAAAAAATGTTAATTTCTGTTATAATAATTACCAGAAGTGTTCTTCGAAGGTTATTTTTGCCATACATACTTGTTTTTTACATTGAAAAATGTATATCTTCTCTTAATCTACAGGCATTAATGTTTAATATAATGATGTTTTTTCTCATTTATATCCTGATGTAGATATGATCTATAGAATTTGATATCTATTGAAATTTATGTGATTATTATGTTGCATTGTTAATACACTTTTAGAATCTTAATTTTGTGGAACATTGCATATTCAAAAAGAAAGTTACATTATTATTTGAATAATTTTATTCAACACTGTACAATTACAACCTCAAACTAAATACGAATTATTCATCTCAAATCAATATATTACAATACTTTTATTTTAAAATGCACATAACTTCATAGATTTAACTGCTAAACTTTGACAGAATTAATTTCTATTCAATTCTTGCAGAATACGCAAAATATAAATAAACAAATTGATAATATCCATGTATAAATTGATGGTGGCCAGTATGTATTCCTCTGGAGACAATGTCTTCATAATCATCTGCGTGTCAAATATAATGAAAAGGCAAAATACTAGTGCTCCTCCAAGAGAAATAGCAATTTCAAGAATGGACGATTGTAAAAATGCTTGCATACTCCCTCCAATGATGAGAATTATTAATCCGGCAAATAACCCAGAATGCATGGCCGAGAAGTCACGTTTTGTTTGGAAAGTATACAACGTTAGTCCTCCCAAAACAACTAAGGTCAGAAGTAAGGCTTGCAAGACAACCGCTTGCGAATAAAAAGTTACAATAACCCCAATTGTGTATGCTTGAACAACGGTGAATGCTGTTAGTAGTATGAAGTTAGCTGGGGACTCCCGCCTTTTAACGTGCAGAGCGAGTAACAAAGCAATACTTCCGAAGAACGTTACTAACATCATCCAATCGTTGGACTGAACGAAACTTCGAATAGGTGGAGTGAACATGCACACAGCAGCAATGACAATGGTTAGGAATATCTGCATCGTGAGTAAACCATATACCTTGCGTATGAAAGCAAGTCTGATAGATTTTGTTGCTTGCCATACATTGTTTCTATAGGCAAAGTCATTCTCTATTTCGTCTTCATATTCTTTGCCGCCTTGCTCGATGTCCTCCTGTAGGATTAGGGGAACTGTTTGAGACATTTTACGACGTGATCACCGAAAAATTTGTGACAATATGGGTATTTTATCAAAAACCTCAACCCAGTTGGCAAAATTCTGACACTAATGACAGTTAAATATTGGGAATACAAACAAAAGTGACAAGAAACAAAACATGATTAGAATTAGACAGATGACATGAAATCATAGACGAGTTCTCGAAAGTTCCTGACGAGTTCATCGATTTCCAAAAAATTATTTTTTATTGTTAGATGTATTGTACGTGTGGCATTCATTGCATTTTCAATGTTTTGAGAAATGAGGGTTTCGTACACATTTCCCACCATTGTTACAAGATTCTTAGTTTCATCAAATTTTGACAGTTCATAACAGAGATTACGATAGTTGAAGCCTCTGAGGTTCATGGACGATGGAGACAGATGAATCAACAATCAAAAAGAACACTCGAGGGCGACGCCTTTGATCAAAGAAAGTCAAGTTTGGTAACATTCGCCTCTGAACTTCCGACTGTTCTGTGACTTGGACAGTACGCAATCTTTTAACACCACAGTAAATCATATCCTTCTGTAGTCAGAATTTACAAAACAGGTTATCTCTCAGAGTACTCTGAGGGTTGTCTGTGTGGTTTTTTATTGAGTGATAATAAAAATTCATTGTGAAAGGCATATTGGTTTTCTGATATTCTTGTCCGATTCGAATTAGTTTGAACTTGGTGGTCTTAAGCAACATTATCTGAAGCGGGAAAGCGAAATTCACTCGAAACAGATCATTTTCAATATACCTACAATAGACACCTCATACTATTCCAGTAAACACAGAACATCATTTACAGGTTCACACATGAAAACTCAATCACATAACATTCATTCATATCCATTCAAAATATTGTGACTTTCAATTAGTATATATTTTCTATAAAAATTGAAAGGTAAGTAGATTCAATTCAAATGTCGATTCAAAATATTTATTTTATTGAGACCTCAGTAAAGTTTCTGAGATAAGAATGCGATAACTATAATCACTTCTTAACCCAAGGAATTAAAACCATAACGACTAACAAATACGTTTACATGTATCTTTGATAATATAATAAACAATTTTCACAAACATTCATTTTTAAATGCCATTCGCCACACCGTAGCTTTTCCTTGCCATTTCTACCGCAAAAAATCAAATAAGTTCAATCCTCATGGAGAGAGTCTTTGAAATCTCTAACAGCTGGTGCCTGAAGTATTAATAAACCCTGCTCCAGTTTAGCCAAATATTCCTTGATTGAATCTGAAAACTGGTACTGTACTTTGATGATGCAAGAACTACACAGTTATTATCTGCCTGTGGTGTTTCACAAGGTAGTGTCTTGAGACCATTATGGTTTTTGTTGCATATAAATGACAAGCAACTCTTTCATTCCTGTGACTTTATAAAACCGTTTGCAGACAATACATATAATGTAATCTATTTAGAATAGTAATTTGGATAGTTCTGTCCATAAAAAGAATAACTTGTTAGCAACAATTTGTTCATATCTTGATAACTATAAACCTTAACTCGAGATAAGTTTAACTAAAGCTTCTTTCAATAAATTAATGGATGTAGCAGTTACTTCGTGGTAGGAAATCTTAATGAAGAAAAGAGAAATTAAACATTCTATGTTTTTACCACTTTTATTTGTAACTAACGTTACTGCAGTTTCGTACTATACGGACATTTTCGAACTTATACAATAAGTTTGAAATAAGGATATTTTCAAACTTATACAATAAGTTTGAAAATTTCCGTACAGGACGAAACTGCAATAACGTTAGTTACAAATGAAAGTGGTAAAAAACAGAAAGTTTCATTTCTCTTTTCTTCATTAACTAAAGTTATTATCTACATCTTATGAGATGAAATATGTTGATACAGACCAGTATATCAGTATATATGTTCGAAGTTTATTTGAAAGTTCCACTTGAAACAGAGGTGAATTGATAAAACTTAACCTATATTTGCTGTAATAGAACCAGATACATACTTTCTTCTGGGGCGAAGTCAAGTGAACTTTTCGAAATTTATCAACATAACTGATATTGCCCATAAATAATAACAAAAACAATGGTTATGTGACCCTATCGTTTGAAACGTGCGTCTAAACAAGATTTATTTGAATAAATAGAAGTTTTTTCATTTTACAAACAGTCAGTATTTTGTGGTTGTATCTCCGAAAGTAGATCCGACAAAAATAAGTATGAATTTTTCAAAAAATAGTGAAGGAAAGGAAATTTATCCAAAACTCACTCCAAATGAGTTTTCAAACCAAACAACTCAACATACTAGGTTAATCGGCAGAACCTAGTAAGTATGTTGGGTTGTTTAAAATTTTCCAATAACTTTTTATTATACTTTACTATACTTTATTATAGGTACTGGAATACTTTAATGTTCTTCTTCATAAATTTCTTGATCTTCTTCTTCACAAATTTCTTGATGATGTTCTTCTGACAAATTTCTTGATGTTTCCTTGAAATTAACAGAAGATGCAGTGGATTTTAATTTTAAATCGTTCATTATCATGAAAATCTTACATTTTAGACATTATTAAAGCGTATCAAACTGTCTTTTTAGAATGATCTGGTTTTTCCAAACTTTTTGTGCCTTCAAATTATAGTCATGTTTGAAATTGATTGACAATGTTTCATGGCGAATTTCATTGGTTCAGACTCTCATTGTCTAATATGATTGTACTATGATTCGAAATCTATGAAAGAACAAATAAAATTAGAATGAATAGCTATTACATTGAGCATTACATTAAGCAATAAAACGAGTAATGAAAATATAATAAAATGAATGATATAGGTATTTGAAATTAGTTAGATAATTAGATAATGAAGGCCGAACCAATGAACATTAACAAATTTCAAACATAAAGTAATGTTAGTAACAAGTTACAAATACAAGTGGTATGAAACATAAGAAGTCCTCAGGGGAATGACGCCCTCTCTACTCTCGAATCTTAAAATCATACTGGCTTGCCGCACTAAGGCAGAAATTTTAGCCGAACAGATGCAGAAGCCTGTCATTCCTGGCTCACTGCGCTTGCTCAGGGCACATGATTCTCGGACCCAATGATCACTTACCCCACGGTGTGGGGAGTGGTCATTGGTTGATAATGCTGGGGCGCCCTGTCGAATGTATCGGGGCTCCGAGGAATCATTTTCATTATCCTGTAGACAATCGAAAAGGTATATTGTGTAGGATTAGTCAGAAAAGAGCTCAAAAGTAAAACTGAAAATAAGACATTTCCTGAAGGGAGTAATAGGTTTTCTCTAGTAGGAAAGACTTAAGTCTAATTTTGAAGCTGTGGATAGTACTAGAGTTTTTCAGTTCAAGTGGTAGCAGATTAAATAATCTGAGCCCTATTACATTGGGGGAATTGTAAGTCAATACATTTTTACAATTTGGCATATGAAAGTCTGTTTGCACCTGGTATCAATAGAATGCACTTTTTAATTTCTTATGAAACAGCTTTTACAGCTTGTATTTCTTGAGAATCCTGCTATTTATATTATAATCTTTTTCTGGGCGACAAAAACATCTTTGCATGAAGAGGAAGCTCCCCAGAAAATAATACCATACCAAACACGCGATTCGACTTGAGCATGATACAGCATAATCAGCTGTTTCTGGTCTACAACATTATGAAGGTTTCTCATGGAGTTCAATTTTGATATAACTGTTCCGCAATAAGTTTTCCAGCTGAGAAATTCATCCAAATGTACACCTAAAAATTCTCCGTAGAGCACGGAGAAATTTCATCTTCAATTCTCAAGTTGAAACTGGCTATTTCTTTTTGTCTAGCATGAAATCTTGTTAAACGTGTTTTTTGATTATTCAAATGTAGGGAATTTTCCTTGAACCAGGTGTTTAATTTTTGCAGGATTAAATTACCTTTGGTTTATATGTTCTGATCTATTTTATCTGATATAACCAGTGATTTGTCATCTGCATATGCAGTGTAAAATGAGCATATGTAGAAATGGATTCCATATTATTTACATACAATAAAAAAAGAATAGGGCCCAACACTGATCCCTGTGGGACACCGGATGTATATAACTTTCTCACATTATTATCATTGATGATACTGACATATTGCTTCCGTGTTGAGACAAACGTTTTCAGCCAGTTAAGTGCATTTCCTTATATGCCCATATAATGGAGTTTTTTGTAAAGATTTTCGTGATCAACACAGTCGAATGCCTCAGAGGTCACAGAAGACCCCGATAGGGCACTCGCCCCTGCTAATTGAATTCAAGACGTTCAAATATAAAGAATGAATCGCATCGGTTGATGACTTTGAATTCTGAAAACCATATTGGTTTTTGGATATAATGTTCTCATTCAAGTAAACGTTCAGTCTGTTCAAATAATATGCTTATTCAAAGATCTTAGAGAAAACAGAAACAGAGGGCACTGTGATCACTTTTGCCATCAATTCTAATCAGGGAACAGAACGTATTATTGATGTTTTTGGGAATGAATGAGATAAAATTTGATTTTTCTCTGTTCACACACAACCCCGTACTGGTACACCATGTGTGAAATTGGTTTGCAACGGTGTTGGCAGTTTCTACTGTTTTTGCTAAGTTGTTTTCTCTCACTATCATAGTTGTGTCGTCTGCATACATTATTTTGTGCGCTTGTTTGCATGTTGAGGTGATATCATTGACAAAAATAGTGAACAGTACTGGACCCAGTAGTGATCCTTGCGTTACCCATACATTTACAGATTTCTGTTCCGATTTTGCACTAGCCAGTATCAATACTTGTTTTCGATTTTCGAGATACGATGTGAGCCAGTTTAGTGGCGTCCCTCTAACACCAATGTGATATTTCTCAACTAGGAGATTGTGATCGACCGTATCAAACGATTTACTCAGATCAAAGAAGAGTACAATAGAGCTGTTTTTTGAGTTCAAAGCATCATATAGTTGCAAACATAATACTGCCATAGCAGAACTGGTAGACTTGTTTTGTCGAAAACCGTGTTGAGATGAGCCTAAGAGATTTCGAGATTCAAGGAAACTTGTTAATCTCGTGTTGAAGGCCATGTCTATGATCTTTGCAATCCGACTCTGTAAGCAGAT